TGTGTTTGGCTAATAACTCTTTGGGAATCAACTTGTTGATTTAAATATACTATTTTATGCCTGTTAACTGTGCTATTTTTGGCATTTTTATCGATCCCATTAAAACATGAAAATGATGTGTTTTTGTGGCAGGTTGGTAGTAACAAAGTGTCTAAAGGTACAACTCAAAACTGGTTCTTTATTAATTGATTTGTTCTGTGTAGACGCCACCCTGGTTCATCCTCGGAAAAAACAAAAAACATCCCTCTGAAAACGGTTAGGTACAAAGACTGAACTGAAAATGAGTGAAAAAAATCCCCCCAAAAAACTTTAAAAGATCTTTTAGAAAGCCTGAAGAATTATCGCTTTAAAAACGACAAGAAAGTCTGACTGCTCGGGAGCAAAATACTAAGAAATAAGCAGTGCCTCAAGTCTTTTTGCACAGCACTGTATAATGCATCAGTGGTTGCTCGACATATGCCTGCTGGCTTTGTGGGTTGATTTGAGCCACAGCTCTTTGGATCATCAAGAAAAAGGAACATAAAACTAGAGAAATGAAATTCGGAGAAATAACTACAAATAAAGGGCTGATTATCTTTTATGCAAACACAGTTTTGCACTTTAGCCTTAAAGCATGATCATACCATATTTATTTGCATAGCATTTAGATGATTAAACAGAGCAGTCTGCAGGCCACAGGCATATTTGTTCAGCAATAAGTACAAAGCACTAAGGACAGTGTTGAAATCTGGTGTAGAAAACCTTTTGTACAATTTTCTTGCTTATGTGTCGCCTTGTCGTCATGCAGATGGTATCATATGTGGAGCAGGATTTATGTTGGCTTTTTTGAGTATTATGTATTCTTTTAAAAAAGAAGTAAAAGGCACCGTTTTAGTAGTTTTAGTACCAAAATATACTTAAAGTATCTAATATGCTTGCAGTGACCATGTTCAGAGGTATATACATTATATCATTGGGTAATTCTAGTGTTTTAGCTGGAGATGCCATAAAGCTCTAGATACACACTCACTGTTACTTTTGTGTTTCCAGTTGTGAGGAGTAGTAGAAGTACTGAAGTTACCAAAGATGAATATGAGCGGAGCTAGAGCCTGGTCGAAAAAGATGTTGACATTAAACCTCAGCTCTGGCTGAAAGGTCAGTTTACATCCAACCTTTTCTTTTGAGTTAAGTTACAATTTAAAACATTGTAATTATTGCTAAAATGACACTTCAGACCTAAATTCTGACTATAACAGGGAAAATAGTTAACCGGTGCTTAATGAGAGGGAGCGCATTAGCTGCAGTGCAGAACTGCAGCACATTAGCTGCAGTGCAGAACCGAGTAACAGGAGGGCTGGTTAGCAGAGGTGATAATTGATTGAAAGCAAGTAAAACATTGATGTAACTGCATCTGAAGGCAGGTCAGAGCTGCAGCAGAGAGTTTGCTGGTCTGGTGAGACTGCACAGGGATTCTTTGGCCTGAATGCTAAGCAGTGTGTCTGGCACAAACGAAAGCAGCCAAGTAACACATTTCCTGTTGTGTACAACGGCAGCACCAGTACAGGGGACCTTTAGTTTGCCAGGCATAGGGTTCTTTAAACAGGTGGGAAGCTGAATAAGAGCCCTGCACAGAAAGCTTGATCAAAGGGTGTTTAACAGAGAACTGAAACTAGGAAAGGAGTTTGTCAATGAAAGTCAGATTTCATTACTACCACCAAAACACTACAGTATGAGTTTTCACTGATGGACATGCAGTGAAAAAGAAGAAGAAGTGAATGCTGTCCTTCTAGTGTAAATTCTGCATCCCTTTACACTATTTTTTCTTTTTCTGAATCCTCTCCCTTCTCTCAGTTCCTCTCAGTATGCAGTCTCCAAGGAGGGAGAGTATAAAATATTCAGTGTGCTGTATTTCTAGTTTGTCTCTCCGCCATCTGTTCTTTCTCCACTTCTTACATTTCAGTGCATAATCTGTTTGAGAGACATTTTAGAATGACGCATTTTCAAATAGGAACTATTTTCTTTATACAAAACTGTATATGATTTCTTCGTTTTTGCATATTTGTCATACTTGCCTGTTTTCAGATCATCAAACAAATTTTAATATTACAGAAAATACAAAATGTCATTTGTAAATGATCATTTCGTATATCAAGGGAAGAAGTTATTCAAAGCTACCTGACCCTATGTGAAAAGTAATTGCCAACTGTATCTGGAAAGGGTTACAGAGATGTTTCTAAAGCTGTGGGACTATTCAATTCAATTAAATTTTATTTATATAGCGCCAAATCACAACAAAAGTTGCCTCAAGGCGCTTCATAGATACAGAGAAAAACCCAACAATCATAGGACCCCCTATGAGCAAGCACTTTGGCGACAGTGGGAAGGAAAAACTCTCTTTTAACAGGAAGAAACCTCCGGCAGAACCAGGCTCAGGGGCCATCTGCTGCGACCGGTTGGGGTGAGAGAAGGAAGACAGGATAAAGACATGCTGTGGAAGAGAGACGGAGGTTAATAACAGATATGATTCAATACAGAGAGGTCTATTAACACATAGTGAGTGAGAAAGGTGGCTGGAAAGGAAAAACTCAATGCATCATGGGAATCCCCCGGCAGCCTACATCTATTGCAGCATAACTAAGGGAGGATTCAGGGTCACCTGGTCCAGCCCTAACTATATGCTTTAGCAAAAAGGAAAGTTTTAAGCCTAATCTTAAAAGTAGAGATAGTGTCTGTCTCCCGAATCCAAAACTACAGAGAACTATACATAAATGGAGAAAATCTGGAACAGTGGCTGGCCTACCAACACTACTCTAAGAGCACATCGAGAACAGTCGCCTCAGTTAAGGTCAGTGCTTACGATTCAACAGTGAGAACGTGAGTGAACAAAAAGGGAATCCGTGGGAGAGAAAACCACTGTTGACCAAGAGAAAACAGAGGCTCAGCTTAGATTTGCCAAAAAAACATCTTGTCGCCCTCCAAGTCTTTTGGGAGAATATTTTATGGACTGACGAGACAAAAGCAGACCTTTGTGAAAGGCTTACATCCTGTTACATCAAGTATAAAACTAGTTCAGTGCTTCATAAAAAGAACTTCATACCAAAAGTCACGCATGGCGGTGGTAGGTAACCTGGGACTTTGCTGCTGGATGACTTGCTGTAATTGATGGAATCATGAATTCTGCTGTCTACCAGAAAATCCTAATGGAAAATGTCCGGACGTCAGTTAGTGAGCTGAAGCTCAAGAGTGCTTGAGTTATGTGGCAGGACGATCATGTGAAACACAATAGCAAGGTCCACCTCTGAGTGAGGCTCACGTTTATAAACCAACTTTAATAGGAGGAAATAAACTATATAATTCTTTCCTTTCTCTGCTTTTTGCTATGTTTTTTTTTAAAAGTAAGCTATATTTAAAAACAGCATAATAAAACTGGACATTTCTTTGGTGATTTGAAAGATTTGATGGTGACAAAGATGCAAAAACTGCTAAAAATCAGGAAGGGGATAAATATTTATTCACAGCGCTGTAATGCTCCAACCATAAACTGTGCAGAGAGACGAGTACATCTTTCTGTGAGGAGAGGCTCATGTTATTGATATGGCTGAACTGTAACATTAGCTAGCAGCACAGGGTTTTGTTGGGTTTTTTCGGATTGAAAATGTAGTTAAACAGAAAGAAAATAGTGCCTACATAAATCTGTTCAGCCGCATTTGTGGATTTAAAAAAAAATAACAGAGTAATGGTTTCAGGAAAGAGCCTTAGATGTTTAATAAATACATATTTCTGGCAATTTGATCCTCTCAAGGGGAGTGCCTTTTTGTTAGGCAGACATCTCTACAGCCAATATCTCCAAACGGCAGAAATCTAACATAAATAACGCTAGGAGCCAGATGTGAAACTTGTAATTTTGATCTTATGTTGAACTTCCCCATAAGTGGCTTGGGAAGAAAAGCAAGTTACATGAGGACATTTCACCTGTCATCCATGAGGCTTCTTCAGATCTGAAGAATTGAACCTTATAGATGCTATGAAAGCATCGTTTCTTGTGTCTTGGTTTTGTAGTCCAGTCCCTCTTTACAGGAATGAAACCTGTAGGATGAGCTCAGTTCAGACATGTCAGCTGCCATAAGAAGACATAGTTTAAAACAGCTGGTGCTTGGAGACATTGTTTCCAGGAGTTGAAAGTTTAAAGGAATCCTAAACTTTTGATAAGATTAGTTTGTTTTAAAAAAGTTGCAAGGCTATAGACAATAAATAAATAAATAATTAGTAAAGTATGTTTAAAAATTGATTTATTTAAAATGTACTTAATTATCACATACACGTCTACTACTACTACCACCACTACTAATATTACAACTAAAAACCAACAACTAATAATAATAATAATAATAATAATAGGAGGAAGAAAAGAAAAGACAAAAGAAGAACACAATAATCACAGGTCAACTGTGTTTCTGTTCTATTGTCAAAAAATTATTGTTTTATCTTTTATGATGCTTTATATGGTATAAAGATGCTTTATATGTCTATATTTTGACTTATGTAGACCAGTTAAAGCTACTTTAGTTTGACCTGAGACTTTACGGAGGAAGCTAACCCAACGCCATCTCCCCAAGAGAAGGGGAGATGGCGTTGTTTTTTTTATTCACCAGGATGGCAGTTGAGCTTTGTTTTGAGGCTGGCCTGAAATAACACTTTGCTCGTTTTTAATAATATGATTGATGCCTTTACAATATAGCTGTTAAAAGTCAAGAATAAAAATGTTAAATTCCAAAATACTTGAATAAATGAAAGATGTAATTGTGTAAGGAAAGACACTGAGACATAGTTGCTGTTGTTAAATCTTAAAAGAATCTTTAAAAAAACAGAATACTGAGAGAACGCACTGCACATTAGCCTCTCTCAGTCCACTTTGGATGTACGCCTGACCTATTTAGCTACAAGAAACACTGCCAGAATCCAGAATCGTGTGCATTTGTGTTAGTCTGTGTTTGTGCATCAGTGTGTGCGAGGTAGTATTTGGCAGGCAAAGAGTGTAAGAGCAGAGAAGTTGATTTGAAGCCAGGCTGCTGAGAACAGGAGGGGCTACAAACAAGGGCTCACTCTTTACTCGGTGAACTCGCTCTTCCATTATGTTTCCTGCACATCTCAAACGAAATAAGATCAAAAGACAATCCTGTCAGCCCGACTAAGCACTTTATCATTTTGTTTTGTTTTTCTCCTTTGTAAAATATGCTCCCAAACAAGATTTTCATCCAGCAGTGCATGCATTATTAATTATGCCATTTATCTTTGGGAACGCCACAAGATGTTACCTCCAAAAGCACACACTCATCAGCCTGGAAGTAAACACAGCAGGAGCACGGCAGACTTTCATATGATGGATTGTGTTTTTGCATCCAGAGCGCCCTTTGTATTAAATCCCATCTGCTGTTACACCCACTCCATTCAGCTCCCGCTGGCGCTCCACTTACTGAACATCAGACAGCACAGCTCCACTCAGTCATTACGCCTCATACTGTGCAGTGGAAAGGGAAGGAGCATTACTTAAATCTAATCCAGAGGCTAAATATGAAATCTAATCATCTTATTTGACACACCAACACTTTACAGGATAACTGTATTCCAAGTTTCACATCTCAAGAATCAAAAGGGAAACTGTTAGCAAGTCAAGTTAAACAAAATCAATCATCATTTTATAAAATTGTTTCCAGCAATCGATTGCCTCAATTTTAAGGGTCTTTACTAGGGTGGCTTTGCATGACTTGTACTTCGAAATAATCCTTATTTATCTTATACTGAGTCTTTGTGCAGCCCATAATCCCCTTCACTGTGGGTTTTTAGGAGCTTCCCCTCTCCTTCTGCCTTTACTTTGTTCTGATTGGCTGTTCCTCATAAACATTACAGAGTTAATCGGCAGGTGGGCGGGGCTTCTGTGCTTAGAGGCAGAGAAGTGTGAATGAGATGACCATATTACGAAGTTGTGTTTGTTTGTTTGTCTAGTGTCCACAGTTTTCAAGAAATCATTTTCAAATTTTGTGTGATGGAAGACAACATTGACAGCTTTAGCTGATTAAATTTTGGCGAAAATCAGGTCAAGGTCACAACAAAGACACTGAAAACTATTACCAACAAATTTTCAGCTGATTTGTCTGAACAATTGTCCAACAGTTCACAAAGCCTTTGGCTGCATGAACACCTAGGTTGGCTAAGCATTTGACCTTGACCTTCATAACTGGCATCAAGGTCAAAATTAAACCTGAAAACAAATTTCAAGAAACCATATCAAGGATTATATCATATATAACATGCTTTTTATTTTTTCAATCCGACACTCCACGATGTATGGAGCCATAACAGGCTGACATCATCGTATCGCATTTTTTTTTAAAAAAAAGACTGACATCAGCATGTTGTAATAAAAAGAAAATGTAATAAAAACAAAACAAAGTTGTAACATACCCCTTGCCCTTGAGGGGGAAGTGCTCTTTAATGTTCTGTTGGTTCTCTCTTTGTTCATTATTGTGTATTCTTGTTTGTCACATTTGACTTCACTGACTTCTAGTTCTGTGTTTCCCTTTTTTTTCTAGTTATTTTCATGAGCTTTCTGCCTTAGGTTTATTTTGTTGTATTCTATTGTTATTTTCTTCATCTCCTCCTTGTGCCCCACTGTGTAAAGTTTATATGTTTGAGTCTGTTGTCAACTGATTGTGTATTTCCTCTTTTACTTCGGTAGTCTTTTGTCACCGGTGCTTTACATTGAGTTCGGCTTCCCTTGTCTTGTTGTCCACGATTTGTTTCTGCTGTGTTTCCCACCTGCTTTTTCAAGCCTCAGTACCTTTGGTATTTACTGTCTCAGTCTCCCCTTGCCTTTGTCGAGTTGTCCCACATGCTGTGTGTACCCCAGTGTAGTAATTCCTCATAGCTCTTGGATTTTATTTTTTGTTTTTAGACTGTGCTTTTTTTGACTGCTCCAGCATTAAATGCATTTGTTAAATTCCACCTGTGTTCTGCATTTGGGTCCACTAACAATCACCACACTCCACACAGTTTACTGTGACAACCAGTCATGCATCTTACTGGAGAACATCCATATAAAAAATGAAACACTGGGGATAGAAGCATGTCTTTTATCCTGTCTTCTTTCTCTCACCCCAACCGGTCACAGCAGATGGCCCCGCCCCTCCCTGAACCTGGTTCTGCCGGAGGTTTCTTCCTGTTAAAAGGGAGTTTTTCCTTCCCACTGTCGCCAAAGTGCTTGCTCATAGGGGGTCATATGATTGTTGGGTTTTTCTCTGTATCGATGAAGCGCCTTGAGGCGACTTTTGTTGTGATTTGGCGCTATATAAATAAAATTGAATTGAATTGAATTGAATTAGAAGCTACTATCACTCTGATACTAGTTCAGTCAAAGTTAATGACTTTGCACGCTGCTGTTGAAATTTCTTTTCCATCAGTGATATTTGTGAAGCTGTGTAAAAGTTAAACAGGACCATATTGCATATTGTTTTAAATATTAAAAATGGTTATATTTACAGCTGGGTAATCTGAATAGATTTCCTTGTATTTATCCCTCATATCTACATACTGCAAATGGCTTTGAGTGAAAAGTGACACTGATGCGAGACTCACTGTGCACGCAGGGAAGTCCCACCTCGCCATCGTGCAGCGTGTTAACAACGAGGGTGAGGGTGACCCTTTCTACGAGGTGATGGGCATCGTGACCCTGGAGGATGTCATTGAGGAAATCATCAAGTCAGAGATCTTGGATGAGACAGATCTCTACAGTATGTGTGCAAACACACGTGCATAAGCTCAAATGTACATACGTGGTCAAAATACATGGAAATGTGAGAGTTAATCAGGCTGTTTTTATGTGTCTAAGCTGATAATCGCACAAAGCGTCGTGTTTCTCATCACGAGCGAAAGCAGCAGGACTTCTCCATCTTCAAACTGTCAGAAAATGAGATGAAAGTGAAGATTTCCCCCCAGCTTCTCCTGGCAACACATCGTTTCCTCTCCACAGGTAGCAGCCAATCAAATCGCCTCTCTGTCTCTCAGAGCGCTTACATTTCTGCATAATATGCAACAAGAACATCGGTGTTTTAGCAACTGTAACAAGAATATTTGCAGCGTTTGTCTTCACCCAATCCTGTATCTTTTTGCTTTTTTTCAGAGGTGGAGCCCTTCAAACCAACACACATCTCAGAGAAGATCTTATTGAGGCTCATCAAACACCCCAGTGTGGTTCAAGAACTCAAGTTTGATGAGAAGAACAAGCGAGCCTCTCAGCACTTCCTGTTCCAGCGCAACAAACCAGTGGACTATTTCATCCTAGTGCTACAGGTACCTGTAAGAAT